TTGGGTTTGAACGGAATGAGTATAGCAGTGACCAAATTTTATTATATACATTTATCACAATCAAACATCTCCAGTCGTCTTATTTCATTATGTGTCTCAGATACATTAGCTATCGATAATGATTTATGGTTAGCTGAACATGTATCTACATTTATCAATCTTCGTCATTTATCTTTAATCGACATTAAACGTTCTTCTTTTGAATTGATTCTTAACTCATTGTCACCTATTAATTCTCTCATCGTGTTTAGTGTATGCTTTTCAATTAATGATCGTGCTGCTTATACGTTTATAGGTGTACCTGAAGGTGCATATTATGAACGAATTTTTCACGTATTTCCTTCATTACGTGTATGCCATCTGCTTTTCCGGCGATACATACATTCTACTCTAGACAGTGAACTCATTCTATCACCTGACAAAACTTTTATGCCTGTTCAAATCGGCCTTTTAAATTTACAATCATTTACACTTTATTGCTCACCAAGCTTTCTGTCACATTTATTTGAACATCTCCCACAATTGCAACAATTCACCTATACACGGACTGATCCTTGGCTACCTAAAAACCATCCACTAAGACATAGTGATTACAAGTAAGTTTCTTTCTTTAATTGAATGTATATTTGAATTTATGAACTCAATGTGAAGCGTATGATAGAAGAGACTATCTAATCATCTTATCAGAAGAAATTAAAGTTAAAACTGAATTATTTATAAAATAATAAGATACGTTTTCAATAATTCGTATTCACTTTTAGAGTCAAATATTAACAATAGCGAGGAGATTTTAAATAGTTGATGAATTACAATTGAGTTATGCATTAGATTTTCAAATGAACACAATAAATATATAGGAAGAATACTGACACTGGCATACGAACTGGAGTAGATAAATAAAAGAAAACTGCGTTCCATGAAATATTTAAATAATATAAGTAATGCATTTTTTATTGTTGCAAAGTAGTCTTATTGATCCATTTTAGTCGAATCACTCCCATTAATAAACGTCTTGCTCCAAATCTATACTGCCTAACAATAAAATGGTTTACTTCTATGATGAATCCGGAATCGATTAATGAATTATTTGAACGTGATGTTTTATTTTCATTAATGAACTTCAGATTATCAGCGCGAGTGGCTGGTCTCCATGTTCTTCACAATTTACAATTCATGCTTTCCAGTCAATGTTTATATTCGTTTGATATTAGATGATCTGTTAAAACCGTAGTGTCAATATCGGAAACAAGCAAAATTTTATTCGACACATTCCAACAGCTCAAAGGACCAGTGTCAATTGAATTACAACTATCTTTAGAAAAAGACATGTATTTTATTAGAGCTTTAACAGTACCAAGAATGGATAAATGGTTATGTGTCTGTTCCTATCTACATAAAAATATTGTTCATGGGTATAGATAGACAGTTGTTTTTTATTACAAACATTTTTTGAATTTAGACGAACTCCATGGTCAGATAATAGATTTGTCTTCAACAATCAATTGCTTCGTTGTAATAAGATTATTATGAGTGAAGATTATGATCGAATGAACGATGAATTTCTTTCTTTTTCACCACTCTTAATTCCTTGGCATCACGTTACATCACTTAGTATTGCTGAACCATTCAATCGAAATCATCTTCATCTTCTCTTTTCGCAAGCGACGAATCTACGTACTCTAGAACTGCATTATAGATTATAATTTCATAGTAAAATTGGTTTAAAAGAGGAAACTTTAATCGATCTCCTTAGCGATAATTCTTTGTGTAACATGCTCATGTCAAATGGTTTACGACATCTCAATCTTTTTACGGTTTGGGAACAATCAAATTCGTTAAACACCGCTTATTCAATTGTCGAGCGACTACCTCATTTGCAAGTCATAGAACTACATGGTATTGTTTGTGAAATCATTGAAGTGGCACATATACTGATCAATGGTCTTTCAAAATTAAGTTTTCTCACTCTCGATAGTGAATTCAGACAACGTGGTAAACTTTATGATAAAAGATTGCGTGATCTGCAGAATTCAAATACTCGTTCTTTTCGAACGGAAGTTCCTAACACGATATATGGAAATATACTTTTCGTATGGCTATAATAAAATGAAACTGCGAATATTTCTTTGCTTCTTTGTACTTAAACATTTTTTTGAAAAAGAATCGTGAGAATATTTAAATATAAATAAAGCGAAACCTTTCTAAATGTTGTTTTGTATGTTAGATCAGTTGAAAAGATCTTTTATTTTTGATATTAAGTCAGATAAAAATCTTTTTGTTTTTTATTTTGTATATGTTATAATTTTAAGGAAAATGGAAGGACATCATTTTTTTAGTGCTCAATTATGTAATTCTTGTCCAAGTTTCTGAGTTCCCAATGATTATCAGCAAATCATAACATGCCAAAATTTATTTTATATTAAATTAGGGTGTAGGTGTACCTGTGGGTATGGATAGAACTTTTTCTGAACAACCACACACCCACACCCACATACATACGAGTATGCATGTGTGTTATCAAGAGTGACAAGGCTATGCGCCATGAGTAGAAATGAGGATTACCTTCCTGTACGATAGGGAAGAAATCGAATTTTTGAATCCTGTCTAGTTTTTATCATAACAGACAGCTAACAGTGATTCGAGAAAAAATCGCCGGTTCAAACGATTTATTCTTGGCTTACTAAATTATGGTGTGGGTGTGGGTGGCCGTGGGTGTGAGTGGGTGTTGGTGTGGGGTATGGATGTGGATATAGATATTCTCTTTACCCACACCCACACCCTTCGTTCTAACACTTATTTTAAGAACAGATATAGTGGTCAACATTTCCTGTCGCTATTCTGAAATATTCAAAAAGTAAGACATTTTTTAACAGTTCCTCTCTTTCTTCTCATATAGTTGTTTAAATGAGTGTGTTGTAAAAATAAATCGTAAATAGTCCGAAAGATGAGAAAACTTTCTCTCAGGCAGCATGTGTATGGAAAAATATAAGGGTCGACGTTTTTTGCCATTAGTTTCACATCACATATTCTTTTAAAGAAAAATATGTTCAACGTGAAAGTTGATTGTTTTCAATAGAATACATGTTCATAAATAATCTGTTGGTAATTAATTTTGTAAGTAGAACAAAACTGTTTCGCAGAGCGAATGAAAAAAAAGAATTATTTTTTTTAGGTGTCTTAACAGTTTTTAGACTTAAAAAACATTTATCTTCCAATTGAAATATGCAAAAAAAAATTTTTAAATTTCAAACCATTCAAAAAACGTCCATAAGAATTTTACTAAAGAATTTGAGAGCGAGTATTTATTTCGAATATCGACTATATTGAACCTTATGGGGAAATGATTACACGTAAACTATGACAATTTCTATAGAAATTATTCTCGAAATTTTATTTCAGAAGTATTTGCAGTTTTTTTTATGCTTGCACATATCATCCGATGTTAATACTCCTCGTAAGGCAACATCAACAAATTCTTTTTTTTTTCTGTTAAAGACTTTTTCAGATAACATAGTAGTAAAATCAAAAAACAATATGTTTTTTAATTGATTACAAAAGAAAAAATTTAAATAGGTTTATTAGAAAATGATCAATTTTGACTAGAACTTGATCGTACAAATCGAGTTGTTATTATAACAAAATAAGGATTCGAGTACTTGATGATGATCCAGCTTTTCTTTCATCTATTGATGATTTAACTAAAATAGATATTACTGATATAATACTTGATACATTTCGTCAAAACAAAATACAATGTTGACCAATTCAAATAGTATTTATTATAACAGAACATGGTGAATTTACTAAACTAATTAGTGTACAATAAATGTTCAATAAAGAAGATTTTAATCGAATCAATCAAAATATGATTGATAAATTATTATATTTCAACTATAAAAACAAAACCATGTAGTCTTGTCATTAAATGTAAAGATTATTTTGATATACCAGTAAGAACGAACAGAATCTTTGTGTTTTTTTCGCGAATGAATTCGATAACATGGTAAGATGAGATGAATTATCTCGTTAGGATGATCCTAGACATACATAAGATGGTGTCAGTCTCAGTGGAGTCTAATTAGACTAAAAGTGACGGATACTGCTACTGTCTAGAGGAGTCACTATGATAGCCATCGTGCATGTGACAGATAGTATGCTCGAACATAGGTGCCAATCTTCTGTTTACTAGGGAGTCTTGGACAAATTACTTAATATTATGATTTTAGCTCATTTATCGAGAAGTATACTTATAGTTTGAGTGTAGTAGTTTTCTTAGGTGGTTACAGTCATATAGGGTGTCCAGAAGGTAACTCCATAAGAAAAAGTTTAAATACACATCTTCGCCGTATTGTGACCAAATGAGCTGATATTTTTACTACTGATAAAGGGTTACGTTTCGTTCATATTCATAAAGGAAACGCTATCAAAAATTGTTTTGAAGTAGCACAACTAACCTTGACAAAGACTGTCACCTTTCACGAGTTATGAAAAACCAGTATATTTATTCCATCAGTCAAGAATAAACGACATTTCATTTCCTCGATTACTTTTTCATACTAGTGTATCGTTTGGTCTTATATCCGGATACTATAGATATATATTTTGTTACTCAACGTACGCTGAAAATTTCGGCCATTGACAAAAATGAGAAATTAGTTCTTCGTAACTCGTGAAAGGTGACAGTCTTTGTTAAGGTTAGTTGTACTGCAAAACAATTTTTGACAATGTTTTCTTTATGAATATGAACTATACGTACCCCTTTACCAGTAGTAAAAATATCAGCCTATTTGGTCAAAATACGGCGAAGATATGTATTTAAACTTGAGGATGTGGGTGTGGGTATTGATTTCGCTCACACACCCACCCACAGCCACCCCGACATAACTGTCCTTTTTATTTCAGATTAATTTAAAGTAAATTTCATATCGATAGATTGGCAGATAGGATGCAGCACGAATATTACATGGATTATATTCATAAGTATTTAATATATCTTCATCAATTGAATTTTTGTTTCATAAGCGCTTCATACTTTTCGTGCCTGAACAGATTAAGTGAACAAAAATTATCTCTCCTTTAATAACGAATAAACTCAATTTTGTTCAAATAAATCAAAAAAGAACTATGAAAATTTCTATCAACAGATTTGACACACCTTTAGTACATGAAAGATATTTTTTTTTCTTGGTGTTTGGTTCATTTCAAAACTTTTCAAAGTTAAAATGACGAAGAAAAAAAATCTGTTGAGTAATATCAGTTGTTCATCCCAATTCCAATAAATGCTTAGAACAATTGTTGCAGTTCTAGAATTTTTTTACTTTAATTGCTTGATTAAATGAACACTTTAATTTCATGATTTTTTGTATTGTTTGTAATTTTAAAGGAGTAAAATATGCATCATACTCACATGCCTATTTTTGTTGCCATTGACATTTATAAAGCAACAATATATTCTTTACATATTTCAATTCATTGTTGATCTTGAAATTTTCTATTTTTCTTAAACAACAAGCAATTTGAAGACATCTAACTTATTCTTTTAATTTTAATCCAATTGTTGAATAAAATACTTTTGATGAATGTGAATCAAGCCTTAAGAATCAGAATAATAATTTTAAAATATTTATTAGATAAACAAATCTATGCAAACCAATTTTATTAATGAATATGTATATCATAACGGAACTGCTGTTAAAGTTCTAGTGAACTTGAAAATATTTTAATGAATAATTGTTTACATTCATCAAAACAAACAATTCCAACGTGACGATCACCTAACAAACACATTTTTGATTGAAATGAACCACTTAATATATGATCAATTGTTAATTTGGAATTTTTTGTCCAAGCTAGTCGAACTAATTCGACCTTTTCTTGGTGGGAAAAAACATACACTTACATCTTGTTTATCATCTATTGCTCTTCCATCAATATGAAGATTTGCAGCAAGTTTTATTCTTATACATTATATTGAACCTGCTTTGATTCTTGTTCACTTATTGAACATTTCGATTCGAGATTAATATTGATTAAATCTGTGCCTATCTTATTATTACATAGTTAACATATCAATTAAACATATAACAACTAATAATAACTTTGTTAAACTCTTAGTCGATCAGCTTATTTCATTTTTGAAATAGAATATGAAAATTCTTCTTATTCTCTCGTTTCTTTCATCTAGATTCTAATGAATATGAAGCAGAGAAAATAAACTAAATCAACAATGACATGATGATTTTTTGTAATCTATTTCAAACAAACCTTTTCATTGAATGTCGAAAGAAACCTCGACAATCATCATCAACTTATTTATAAAAAAGTACAGCAAAATTTTCAGATAAGTGATGTGTCCGATACAATTAAACATTCTTAGAAATTATTTCATATCTCATAACAAAAATTGGTACATTTACACGAAAATCTAAAACCAGTATTCAAAGTTTTAAGCTTCAATATATTAGTAAACCAACATTAAAATTTTCCAATTTTTTTTCTATTTTTTAAAAATCTTATCGAAGGACCCTCTTGAATGTTACTTAAATTGCATTGTCGAAGAAGTTTAATACGTTCTTCAATATCTCCAAATAAAATTGCAATTTGAAATTGTTCACGAACATTTCTTCGTACTTCAGGTGAAAGCAAAATAAAATAAAAACAACAAGAGATTTTTAAACTAATTTTCATCATTTTTCTTTATTTT